ACAAGCAGTGGTTGCTAAAAAGAGCTGGCCCCTCCCCTTCTCACTCTCTCTTGCTTCCTCTCCTGCCAGGTGATCTCTACAAAGCCAGCTCCGCTTTGCCTTCTGCCATGAGTGGAAGCAGCTTGAGATCCTCCCAGAAGCTGAGCAGATGCTGATGCCATGCTGCTTCTACAGCCTGCAGAACAGAGTCAAATAAACCTTTTTTCTTTACAAATGACCCAGCCTTGGTCAGGTGCAGTAGCTCACACCTGTAATCCTAGCACTTTGGTAGACTGAGGTGGGTGATTGCTTGAGCTCAGGAGTTTGAGACCAGCCTGGGCAACATGGTAAGACTCTGTCGCTACTAAAAATACAAAAAAAAAAAAAAAATTAGCCCGGTGTGGTGGCACATACCTGTAGTCCCAGCTACTCAGGAGACTGAGGTGGGAGGATCACTTGAGCCCAGGAGACAGAGGTTGCGGTGAGCCGAAATTGCACCATCCTGGGTGACAGACTGAGACCACATCTCAAAAAAAAAAAAAAAATTACCTGGCCTCAAATATTCCTTTATAGCAACTCTAAACAGACTAAGACAGAGAGATCGTGCTCCCCTTTATCCCTGAATATCTGACAGCATTTTCTAAACCTCTGTCCTGATTTTGATAAAAATCAGCAAAACTATTGATACATTGTTACTACTAAATAAACAGTCCATGTTCAGTTTTTGTCCTTTGTCCCCTAATAATGTCCTCTACAGCCATGTTTCCAGTCTGGGACCCCAGGGTCACACATTTGCACTGAGCTGCTGGGACTCTTTACCCTACCTCCATCTGGGACGTTCCTTCTTCCTTCTTTGCCTTTCTTGACCTTAATGTTTTTTAAAAGTGCAGAACAGTTCTTTTGTAGGCTGTTCCTCAGTGTGAGCTTGCCTGATATTTCCTCATTAGTTTTAGATCACGCATTTTGGGGAGGAACAGCACAGCAGTACCCTGCTGTCTGTATAGTGCGTTGAAGGTCGATATGTCCCACTGCTGGCGGCACTAACGTTGATCTCTTGGGTAAGGTGGTGACCCCCAGGGTTCTCCACTGGAAAGTCATTATTTTTCTCTTTGTAATTAATAAGTAATTTGGGAATTAATATTTTGAGAATATGTAAATGCCCTGTTCTTAACCATATGTTCATGCACTACTTTTAACATCCATTGATGATTCCTGTGTGACTCAATATCATGATGGCTGCAAAATGATGATGTTTCTTTTCTCTTTCTTTCTTCTTTCTCTCCCTCTCTTTCTTTTTCTTTCTCTCTTTTTTCTTTTTTTCTTTTTCTTTTCTTTTCCTTTTTTTTTTTTTTTTGAGACAGAGTTCTCGCTCTCTGTCACCCAGACTGGAGTGCAGAGGCAAGATTTCAGCTCACTGCGACCTCTGCCTCCCAGGTTCAAGCTAGTCACCTGCCTCAGTTTCCCAAGTAGCTGGGATTACAGGTGTGCACCACCATGCCTGGCTAATTTTTGTATTTTTCAGTAGAGACGGGATTTTGCTATGTTGGCCAGACTGGTCTCGAACTCCTGGTCTGAAGTGATCCGCCTGACTTGGGCTTCCAAAGTGCTGGGATTATAGGCGTGAGCCACTGCACCCAGTCCAAAATGGTGATGTTTCTAACTTCATCATTCCTTCTACATTCGTTACCTAAATAGGAGAGAAAGGAAAGTTTTGTTTTGTTTTGTTTTTCTGAGATGGAGTCTTGCTCTGTTGCCCAGGCTTGACTGCAGTGGTGCTATCTCGGCTCACCACAACCTCTGCCTCCCGAGTTCAAGTGATTCTCCTGCCTCAGCCTCCCATGTAGCTGGGATTACAGGTGTGTGCCACCACACCCAGCTAAATTTTGTATTTTTAGTAGAGACGGGGCTTCACCATATTGGCTAGGCTGGTCTCAAACTCCTGACCTCAAGTGATCCACCTGCCTTGGCCTCCCAAAGTGCTGGAATTACAGGTTTGAGGCACTGCACCCGGCCAGAAGGGAAAGCTCTTCATAGGAGAATGCCAACTAATAATGTATAACTGCTATATACAAATATGCATGCATACATACATATTCATAATATACAAAAATAACACACATATATACATATTCATAATACACTAAATATACTAAAACACATTATACTATGTAGTATAATACTATACACACATATATAATATACTAAAAATTATTTTTACCATTTATATATAGAATACGTTATACTATGTAGTATAATGCAGTATGGTAATGTATACTACTATACACACATAAATAATATACATAATATGCTAATAATGTATATGTATATATATGTTATATGTATTTGCTATTAGTTGTCATATATACACACACACACACAAAGAGTGTATGTGTGTATAATAACCATGGACAGATGGATTCTTCTTTTATTTATGGGTTATAATCCTTTGCTGTCATTTTTTATTTTGATTTTTTAAATTTTTTTTTTTATAGAGACAGGGTCTCTCTCTGCCATCCAGGCTGGAGTGCAGTGCCGCAGTCATAGCTACTGCAGCCTCCAACTCCTGGGCTCAAGAGATCTTCCCACCTCAGCCTCCTCAGTAGCTGGGACTATAGGCACGCACCACCATGCCCAGCTAGTTAAAAAATTTTTTCTTTTGTAGAGACAGGGTCTGTGTTGCCCAGGCTGGTCTCAAACTCCTGGCCTTAAGGGATCCTCCCACCTCAATCTCTCAAAGTACTGGGATTATAGGCATGACCCACTGAACCCGGTCTTATTTTGGCTTATGTTAACGTTCATATTGTCTCAAATGTGGTCAGTGGGAGCCCCTTCAAATTAGCTCCTGCATCCTTTCGATGTTTCCAACCTTTTTAGAGTTTGCCCTTTTCTTCTGGCACAATAAGATGTTCCAGGCTCATCTTGAACTTTCGCTGTGCCAGCTCTGGAATCAGCCATTTCTCCAAGTTGCCCTAGAAGTCTACATGTTCAGAAATGAAGTTAGTCCCTGTCTAAAGCTCTCAAAAGTATGCTGGCTGCTCTGGTGGGATATCCACTGAGCTCCCCACTAATATGCCATATCAAATTAAATTTTATCTCATTTTATTTTATCTTAATTATTTGTAATATGACACATTGTAAAATGATTGTTTATTAACAGAGAAACTTTTTTTCCTTTTTTTTTTTTTTTTGAGACGGAGTCTCACTCTGTCGCCCAGGCTGGAGTGCAGTGGCACGATCTCAGCTCACTGCAAGCTCTGCCTCCTGGGTTCACACCATTCTCCTGCCTCAATCTTCCGAGTAGCTGGGACTACAGGCGCCCACCGCCATGCCTGGCTAATTTTTTTTTTTTTTTGTATTTTTAGTAGAGACGGGGTTTCACCGTGTTAGCCAGGATAGTCTCGACCTCCTGACCTCGCGATCCGCCTGCCTCAGTCTCCCAAAGTGTTGGGATTACAGGTGTGAGCCACCGCGCCTGGCCTCTTTTATTTTTATTTTTTTTGAGGTGCAGTCTCGCTCTGTCGCCCAGGCTAGAGTGCAATGGCGTGATCTCAGCTCACTGTATCCTACGCCTCCCGGGTTCAAGCGATTATCCTGCCTCAGTCTCATGAGTAACTGGGATTACAGGCACCTACCACCATGCCCAGCTCATTTTTTGTTTTTTTGTACTTTTAATAGAGAAGGTGTTTCATCATATTGGTCAGGTTGGTCACGAACTTCTGACCTCAGGTGATCCACCCCCCTCGGCCTCCCAAAGTGCTAGGATTACAGGCGTGAGCCACCACTCCCTGCCTAGAAGATAAACTTTTGATTTACTCTTTATGTTTAAACATCTTATGAAAGTTAGAATAAAATTTATCTTCCTACTTTTTGTTTTTGTGCAAAATTAGTAATTGCAGCCATGTTATGGGGTGACTAAGCTTTTGTGAACTGATCTAAACATTCAATTAGCCACCATGTAGAATCCTGATTGCATGAGATGAGTTCTGAGCATGAAACAACCAATTTATAAATGGACTTTGGAAGATGGGATATTTATAAGATGGGCTCACAGGTGGTTAAACTAGTCAGTGAAGTTTAAATTCTCCTTCATTCCTAAATTCTTTTTTTTTTTTTTTTTGGAAACATAGTCTTACTGTGTTTCGCAGTGGCATGATCTTGGCACACTGCAACCTCAGCCTCCCAGGTTCAAGTGATTCTCCTGCCTCACCTTCCCAAGCAGCTGGGATTACAGGCATGCGCCACCACTCTCGGCTAGTTTTCGTATTTTTAGTAGAGACTGGTTTCACCATGTTGACTAGGTTGGTCCTGACCTCAAGTGATCTGCCTGCCTTGGCTTCTCAAAGTGCTGGGATTATAGGCGTGAGCCACCACGCCCGGCCATAAAATTCTTTTGCTTTTATTCATCTATGATTACCTTTGACCAGAAACCAATTCAAAGGTCAACTCCTGCGGTTGGTGGCGCTTGTATTCCTTTCCACGTTCCACCACGGGTCAATTCAGAAAATACCTGTCAAATGAACTCTGGAGAGAAAAGGGTCCCATGGTTCGGGGTCCTAGTTTGCGCACAGTGTGAGGATGTGCTCAGAAAACAAGGAGACAGAGAGTAATTACTGGATACCACGGAGATCTAAGGCAGTGGTTGTCAAAGTGTGGTCCCTGGTCCAGCATTAGTATTTCCTGGGAACTTGTAGGAGATATTCATATTCTCAGGCCCTAAACCAGACTTCTGGATTTGAATCTCTGGGGTGGGTCCCAGGGATCCAGGTTTGATTGATTGATTGATTGATTGATTGATTGATTTTTGAGACGGAGTCTCGCTCTGTCGCCCAGGCTGGAGTGCAGTGGCCGGATCTCAGCTCACTGCAAGCTCCGCCTCCCGGGTTCACGCCATCTCCTGCCTCAGCCTCCCGAGCAGCTGGGACTACAAGCGCCCGCTACCTCGCCCGGCTAGTTTTTTGTATGTTTTTAGTAGAGACGGGGTTTCACCGTGTTAGCCAGGATGATCTCGATCTCCTGACCTCGTGATCCACCCGTCTCGGCCTCCCAAAGTGCTGGGACTACAGGCTTGAGCCACCGCGCCCGGCCAGGATCCAGGTTTTAATATGCTCGCCAGGAGACCCCAGTGTCACTCAGGTTTGGGAACTGCCGCTCAAAGAAGGGTGCAGAGTCAGGGCTGCACCCTCTAACAAGCCAGCCGGCGTCCCAGCAAGCAGCCAGCCAGGGATCTGGAAAGGGAAGAATCTTCTACCACGGGAACGGGGACTGTTCCTGCCTCAGGTCTTGGCCACTCCCAGGTGTGCCCAGAGCCAAGTGTTCAGGTGACCCAGGACCTGCAGGAGAAATCACCAGGAAGCGGTTATGTTCACAGAAAATTCACACTGGATGGGACAAGCCAAGGTGCGTGGGTATCTGCTGTCTCCAGTGGTTCCCCACGCTACACCTGATTCTGTTTTCAGAGCTATCTTCTTGGGATATCAGACACCATCGCCTGACTGTGTCTCATCTAACAGGTAAGGAAGCAGGGAATTCAGAGCAAACAACTATGCAAAGCCCTGCAGAACATCCTTATGGGGAGAGGTTCAAGGGCTCAGGGATGGTGGGTGGGGGCAAAGAGGGAGGAGCTTCTCCTGGACCCCCACCCCACAGTGGGAATGTGGCCACCTCAGAACTTCTGTTTATAACCACTAAGATGGCCATGATCCCAAACTGCAGCTGTAATAATATTTGACATCTATTTTGAAATCTCAGAACAAAGCTTTGGCTGCCCTAGAAAAGGGACTGGCTGTGTTCAGCAGATGGAGGCAGAGTTTGCATGGAGGGGTCAGGAGTGGTCACAGACAAGCCTTGTGATCAAGCTATGCAAATAGGCACCCATGTGCTATTCTGGACTCAGGGCCAACGTCATTTCCCATTTTCTGAAAAGAGAGCCTTGGAGTGACTTCCACCTTGGCCTCTTTAGGAAATTAAAGCCTGGAGCTGTGACAAATGCCTTTCTGACCAGGGCAGCACCGGCAGTGTAAAGATCTACGTGCCTCTTATTTAATGATGAGCTCAGGCCAAGATCAGCCTTCAAGGGGAAACCACTGCGTCTCCTTTCTGCTCACTCCAGAGCAGGGCTTGAGAGTCCTACTGGGCTGAGAGGCTCTTCAAGGATCTCAAGTTTACCCAGCAGAGATGATATTGACCTTCCATTTTTAATCAGTGGTTCGTCCCCCGAGGCCACACAGAAGATGGAGACTGCAATCTGTTCTTTCGCCTTCTTTTCTCTAATTCCTTTCCCGGTTCTGACAATGCTGTTTCCTTGGGAAAACATAGGTAAACATTTACATCAGACTCCCAAGGTCCTAGTTATAGCCAGTGGGGTCCCACAGCCTTCTGTTTTCTTATGGTTTCCTGGGGGAGAGCAGGGAGGAGGGGAGCCATCTAAACCAAGGGTGATGGTTCCTTTCCCTCCTTAGAGTACTGCAGAATGGGGACTCACAACATAAAACGATTGAGATCACCAGTCAACCTTTGCATATCTTTGTGAACTATTTAATGTTTATTACAGTAAAATAATGACTTCCACACCATGTAAAGGCAGTGTAAACTCACCAGTAACCTTCAGGGTCCTCCTCTGCGATGTCAGTAAGAAGCTTGTGAATTTACTCAGCTTGGGAGCAGAGCAGATAATGCACAAACCAAGGAGAATTAGTGTGTGTATGCCTGGTTCTTCATGCAAACAAAAAATTGATTTCAACGCCATGATAGCGTTTCTAGACTCATGTATCCTGGACTCCTCTGGGTTTCTGGAAATGTCCTACTGCCTCTTCCACCAACAGGGGCAGGAAAGCCCTGTGTTGAGTTACTATCCCTCTCTCCTGATACTGCACTGCAAAAACTGTTTTACCTTCCTCTTCCCTTCTCCCACTCGAGGTCTCATTCCTTCTAAGCAACCCCCTGCAGAGGGATGCGTCTCTACCCAGAAAAGATCCACTGAAGGAACCAGATGTTTCCATAGGAGAAATGCACAGCGTGGAATTACTATACAGAGAAATACATGAGCCATCAAGAAGTACAGCGAGAATGTGGATGAGGCCCATGAAGAAGCCAATATGCCAGACAGTGAGCATACCAGGTGTGTATGTGTAACCGGAAATGAAAACAGTTTCTGTGAAAGCACATTTTCACCCAGACAAGACCAGTTAGAATAGTGTTCACCACAAGTAAATGACTTTTACTGAAACTTATAACCTGAGAAATAGGTAGAACAGGTGTTGTTCCCAGTTCAGAGAGCAGCAAAGAGTTGCCCAGGTAATAATCACACCGTGAGACAAGGTCTGGCTCTGTCACCCAGGCTGGAGTGCAGTGGCACTATCACAGCCACTGCAGCCTCAACCTCCTGGGCCCAGACAGTCCTCCCACTTCAGCTTCCTGAGTAGCTGGGATTACAGACACATGACACCATGCCTGGTTAATTTTTGTATTTTTAGTAGAGATGGGGTTTCACCATATTGGCCAAGCTGGTCTGAAACTCCTGGGCTCAAGCCATCCTCCCACTTCTGCCTCCTAAAGTGCTGAAATTAGAGGTGTGAGTCACTACTCCCAGCTGACTTCTAGTGAGGATCTTTTTTCTTTAGTGAAATAAATGCTTTCCAGGAATTCTTCACATTCATGAAAGCCAAATGCAATGAGGAAGCCTTAAGTAGCTCCTTGAGTTAAAAAAAATGCTAGAATAGAAGATTTTCGTGCAAATTGGGAATTGTGAATGGACTATATGTTGGGTGGCATTCTTGAATTAGTGTCAATGGTCCTCATGTCATGATCGTGTTGTGACTAGGAAGGAGCCGTCCTTGTTCTTTGGAGATGCTGGCTGGGGGATTTAGGCCATAAAGAAAGAAGTGACCACAGAGGAAAGGAGAGTGAAGGCATCAGAGGACCTAGCTGGTCTGCTCAGGACTCCACTCAGCTAGAGTGGAAAACACAGTTCTGAATATCTATTGCTGTGTAATAGACCAGCCCAGAATATGGAGCATAAAAAACAACAATTGCTTCTTTGCTCCCAGTCTGCACTTCGGGCAGGTGCTCCTCTCTGGTCCTGTGGCATCACCTCTAGTGCTCCAGTGCTGGGGGCTGAAAGGAGTCACTTGCTATTGCCTGGTTCCTGGGTTCTCTCCACATGTCCTGTCCATGTAGTGAGCTTGGGCTTCCACACAGCATGGTGGTCTCAGAGTAGCTGGACTTCTTATACGACAGCTGGCTTCCCCTAAAGTGCAAAAATAGAAGTTGCCAGAGCTTCACAGGGCTTAGGCCTAGAACAAGCACTGTGTCACTTCTGCCACGGTCACAAAGCCGGGCCAGCTTCAAAGGAGTTAGATACAAGGAGAGGCTTATGCGGGTGGGGGTCACTAAACAGACAGTTAACCACACATAGGGATGAAGAGCTATGGTTAGTGGAAATTTACTGTGGGCCAACATCCACAGGAACAGGGTACTTGATAAGACCGTGTCTCAAAATTATCTGCTCATTGGCCCTACAAGGCACCTAAGTTGAATGCAGTGATCAAACCGTTCAGTGAAAAATGGGGAAAACAAGAGTTTCCTTATTACAGGACTACTCCAAGAATTTAAGAAGCTCATACACACTAGGAGTATAATAAAGAAAGGGCTCCCTATTCAATAAATAGTGCTTGGATAACTTACTGGCCATATGCAGAAGATTGAAACTGGATTCCTTCCTTATACCACAAACAAAAATCAACTCAGGATGGATTAGAGTTAAATGTAAAACCTAAATCTATAAACACTCTGGAAGATAACCTAGGAAATATCATTGTGAACATAAACCCTGGCAAAAATTTCCTGATGAAAATGCCAAAAGCAATTGCAACAAAAACAAAAATTGACAACTGGGACTTAATTAAACTAAAGAGCATCTGTGCAGCAAAAAGAACTATCAACAGAGTAAACAGACAACCTGCAGAATGGGAGACAGTATTTGCTAACTATGCATCCAACAAAGGTCTAATATCCAGCATCTATAGGGAACTTATTAACAATCAGAAAACAACCCCATCAAAAATTGGGCAAAGGACATGAACGCTCTTCAGAAGAAGACACACATGCAGCCAATGAGCATATGAAAAAATGCTCTACACCACTAATCATTAGAGAAATTCAAATCAAAACCACAATGTGGTACCATCTCACACCAGTCAAAATGACAATTATTACAAAGTCAAAAAATGGAGAGGTCGTGGAGAAAAGGGAACACTTAGACGCTGCTAGTGGAAATGTAAATTAGTTCAGCCATGTGGAAAGCAGTGTGGCAATTTCTCAAAGAACTTAGAACTGCCATTCGACCCAGCAATCCCATTATTAGATATATACCCAAAGGAATAGAAATCATTCTACCATAAAGACACATGAACACATATGTTCATCACAGCACCATTCACAATAGCAAAGAACGAGATCATGTCCTTTGAAGCAACATGGATGCAGCTGGAAGCCATTATCCCAAAAAAACAAATGCAGGAACAGAAAACCAAATACTGCACGTTCTCACCTATAAGTGGGAGCTAAACATGGAGTACACATGGTAACAAAGAACGGAACAACAGATACTAGGACCTACTTGATGGTGGAGAGTGGGAGGAGGGAGAGGATTGAAAAACTACCTATTGGCTACTATGCTTATTACCTCGGTGACAAAATAATCTGTACACCAAACCCCCAGGACATGCAATTTACCTATATGCAAGCCTGCCCATGTATTTTAATTCTAAAATAAAATATCTTCATTCTAAAATAAAAGTTAAAAAAATAAAGCATTTGCCAAACCTATCTGACTGCAGTGCACACTTTTTAAAAAAGACTATCATTTGAGACATTAGGATTATAAAGACTCCAGTTTGGATTCTAATCCTCCAATAAGGATGAGTTTCTCATTAGATCACAGTCCTGGGTTTTCTGCTGTCTGTCCTCAGTTTCAGCACGTTCCTGTTCACTGATTCTCATGATGTATGTTGATAGTCTCTCTTCTCTGTCATCCTCCCAAGGGGATTTGCTGAGGTTCGATGTTATTACATGGTGAGAATGTGAACCTCAGGAACCTAATATGAGCTCCCTTGGTATGAGAAAATTCTTACTGTTGACAGGTAAAAATAATATCGTGGTCACACACTTCCCTTGGCACACCCATGCCCAGAATGACTGAACCCGCAATTGTGCACATGCTGAACTCTTACTGGACCTTCAAGACTCAGCCCAAAGTTTCCTTCCTTATCTAAGCCTAACAGGAACCACTCACAAGCAGTCTATCCAATCCAAGTGCGTTTCCATGGAATAGTAAATAATAATGCTGTCAGCTAATAATTGTTGGGTACTTACTATGTATATGACACTGTGCTGAGTACTGGGATTTGAATGTAGATTTGTCTGACTCCTGAACCAGATTGTTTAACCATTGCATGGTCTGGCCTCTCCTGAGCTGTTTCCCTACCAGTATTTAGCACATAGCATTGTGTGATAAAGACTGCCAGTGTTCCACCAAAATTCACGTTGCTCTTCTTCCTGAGAATACGGCTGTCCAGGTGGTAAATGTTTCCTGACCTACCCCATGGCTAGGTGTGGCCAAGTAGCCAAGCATTCACCAGTAGAACTGGAGAAATTCCCATGGTCCTCCTTAAAAGGACATCTCTTTCCTAGGACTTCCACTCTCTCCCTTCTCCAGTGCCTGGAACTCGCTTGGCCATGCAGACCAGGATGGTCCCCTGGGGTTGGTGGAGGGATGAAATGCAATGAAATGGAAGGGCTTCAGAACGTGCGGAGCAGAGCCACCTGCCAAACTGGAGGCTGTTAATGAATGAGAGCAAAATGAACTTCCCTGTTCTCTGAGCCACTGTATTTCGGGGCCTGTTTGTCACAGCAGCTGAGACATTGCCCTAAACAGTTCACCTTGAGATGATCTGGTTTTTCCCTACAAGGCAATGAAGTCCTTGAAGTCAGGGATTATGCCAAATTCATTTCTCCATGTATCCAGCCTGACATGGTGCCTGGGGCACAGCAAGTACTCCCCAGTGATGCTCCTGTTGAATGTGTGAATAAGTAAAGTGCTACTTTTTATATTGCTGCAAAAATGCCAATGAGAAATGTTTGTGCATTGAGACTAGATGCAGGTATATCTGAACAGAGAGAAAGACTGGTCCTTGGTGAGAATTGGGACCAGGAGGCAAGACTGACAGCATTCCCAGGGGACTGGAGGGAGAGATGCATCCGATTTCGGTTGATTTCATACAGTGGCAATGAGTGTGCTTGCAAATGTCGGGAAGCCTTGGCCAGTGGCACCCTGTGAACACCATTTCATGAACGACTATGGTGATGAAACCTCAGCGTGCTCCAGAGAGGCTTTCTAGCTCTCTTCCCTGGCACATCCCTCTCTTGAGTAATGCCCGGCTTTAAATTTGGGAAGGCAGAAGATGGCAGTCGGGCTGTCTGTCAGTCTCATCATCTGTCATCATCTTCGGGCTGCCAGTGGGACAGCTGGGGAAGAGCGGGATCAAGTTGACTGGCAGAGGGTTTTACATCTAATGAGTTTGTGTGCAGTAATAGTATAATAAACAAGGCTCTGGAGGAACTCGGCTATCACTTGCATTCCAAAAGTGAGATATGGCCTTCCCGGAAGCTCACGGAACCATCTGTCACCAAATACTAGTCTGTGTCAGTGGCTGGACTGGCCCGAGGACATGGAAGATGTCAGTGGAAGGAGGCAATTGACACACCATGTCATTTAAAAAGATTTAAAGGGAGCCACCTTAAGGAGCTGGAGATTTCCAGGTGATTTTTGAAATACACATATAAAACTACCACCAAAAGCAGTGAGACTTGAAATTTCAGCTGCTGAATGCTAAAGAGTCTTTCCTTAGGAGGAGTTCAGTTTCTGTCACTTGGGGTAAATTCTTGAGTCACATCATCCTTATCTGCTTGCGTTTGGGGCTGGAATTAATGCAGTGTTTTTAAATGTGTTTCTGCCAGTGTGAGCCATCAAGATCTGATTGTTGCGGAAGAACTCTGCCAATGACACAGCCGTTAGTGACGGGAATATCGAGAGCGGACGAAAGCTTGAGTATTGGATAA